GGGGGGGAGCGGGGCCTGAGCCTGGGGGGCGGCCCACAGCACCCCCGTGCCCCCGGGGACCTGGCCCTGCCCCTCCCGGCCTGCCCTGCCCGGCCCCAGTGCTGCGGCCGAGACCCCTGGCAGGGGAGCGCGCCCCCCGCGGCGGGGCTGGCCCCGAGGGCCCCGGGGGCGCTCCTTCTCCAAGCGGGGGATGCCCTGCGCCCGGGGCAGGGCTCTGCTTTCGGGAGAGAGCCGCCCCGGTCTAATTCTGGCTCCGCGTCGGCCGGGGGGAAGCTGCCTGATCTTTCCGGCTGGCAGGTGACTGACAGCTGTCGTCGGCGCCGCGGCTTGCAGCTGAAGCGACCTCGCGTGCGGATGGCGATGGCGCACGCTGGCGGGCGAGCTCCGGGGAGATGCGGCGTCCCTCCAACGGAGACGCGTTTCTGGGCCTGTCCCAGTACGTTCGGGGCTGGGGCCTGCACAGCAGACGTGCGTCTTCTGCCGCGCCGTCGTGCTCCAGAGTCCAAGTTTTTAATCTTTTTTTTTTATTATTATTGTTTTCCAACTCCGGCTGTTTAGAGTAGTTGAGATGGATTTGGCTGCTCCGTGTGGGCACCCGGTGAGTCCGCTCAGTGGTGGAGCGGGCTGGATTTCGGCTAATCAGTGAGAGAAACAGCGGAGCAGTCTTAACTGTGGAGCGGGTGAACTGCCCCGTGGGTGCGAGCTGGGGCGCTCGGCTGCTGTTGACCGTTGACATAAGTGTGGGCTCCTTATCCGCTCGTGTAGGAGGGGAGGTGGAGGAGGAGGCGGAGGAGGGTTGTGTTGCGAGCTCTCTGCAATCCAGTATGAATGACTGCTTGTTTTGGCACCTCCAGGCTTCAGAGGGGACAGCCCGTTTGTCCTCGCTGCTTGGTCAAGGAGTCTCGCCGAGTCCCGAGGGACAGCTGGTGCCCTAAACAGGAGTTAGGCTCAAGAGGCTGAGTGAAACGTGTGATGTTACCTGGGAGGAGGCTAAGCATGAGGAGCCTCTGGATTCATTAAGGGGCCGGGGCGTAGGCCACCCCTGGCACGCACGCTTTGGGGCAGATGGGAGAGAAGGAGCTAGGGTTGCACTGCCACAGCAAGGATTGGGCCCCTTACAGCTGCTTCTCTGTCTGCCCCGGCATGCCAGCATCTTACGAATTGAGGTTGCAGGTGTTTTTGGCTCTCTGCCCAAAAACATTGCCGACCCTTGGGCCAGGGCTTTGAGAAAGGTGCATCTGATGTTTTGAACATCTACCCAGTCTATAATCTAGAGGGTCTCATGTGCAATACCAGTGTACGCAGTCCCTTCTCCCCCAAACTCTAGTCTACCCCCTACATCAATTCAGGGTGATAGTTATGTACCTGCATCCTAATGATACGGTCACTGTTCGGCTGGGTTTTACGCCGTGTTTCTTATCTTATAGACACAATACAGCAGCGGTTCCCAAACTCTGACAGATAGCGCACCACCAATTTAAAAGGATACAACCTCAAGTACCACCAGCAAATTTTTCAGTTCAGCCTTAAATACCACCAGCAAATTTTTGTCATATAAAGTAATTATAATAAATCTGTTAATGCGTACCCCTGGCAGGTTGTCTGCATACCACTGGTGGCTCCCATACCACAGATTGGGAACTGCTGCTGTGCAGTATTAATAACTATTTATGACTACCCCTGGCTGTTTGATTGTGCGAGTATATCGGAGGACTTTGTTTTCTTTATTTAGAGAAGTGCAAGAAGTTATGAGCTCTTTTCAAACCTCCTTTTTTGCAGGAGTGAGATGTCCCAATTTTACCTTTTTAATTTTTGAATATTTCTTGAATGAAAATCAGAGAGCTGCTAGTGTTCCTGGGCCCAGATTTAGACTATAGTACGTGTGGTCTGGAGCTTGGAGCTCTTTTGTATGTAGTTGTCAGTTTAGAAAATGACATGTCGTGGGTTTCTGCTTTTGTGTTATAAACTTTAAAGCTTCATCAAGCTAGTAACATTCATCGTCAAACTGCTTCCAGAAAGCATGATGACTATTTTAGAGAAACTGGGTGCAATAGGGGCTGAGACAATTGTCCAGCTCAAGGTTTTTAGGACTTTCTTTGAATTGAAAGCATCTCATTACTGGCTGCTGGGTCAACTTATCTAGAATCTGGAAATAATAATGTTTCCTCCCTCCTCCCCGCCCCTCTTTGTAAAATTCATCGAGTTCCACTGCTAGAAAATGTTAGGTATTAATATTATGCTGGCTGGCGCAGAGCTCTGCGAGAGAAACTTTGGATGTGCTGTCATGGGTTGGAAACTCTCATTTTCCATTGGAGGAGGTGCAAAATCTTAGCTGGTTACTTCAGTCCTCCTTGTTTTCTTTGTGTGTGCATGTGTTTGTGGGAGGGGGTAATGGGATATGTAAGCAACATTGCATCCTCATTAAGAGGATGGGATCAGGCCACGATGTAGTTGCTTGATATTAATGTGCTCTTCAAAAACATCATGTAAAGAAAAAATTGTTAAAAGAACCATTCCTGATTTAAAAACAGCAAACATCTGCCAGTTAAGGGGTGGCTGTCAGTTGTGTGAAGCTCAACTTTATTTTTTATTTACTTATTTATTTATTTATTTATTGTTTAAAATGGGGATCAAATCCCAAAGCGCTCTATACTGGAGTGTGTATATATGCATATATGGTACACACATGCATGCACACTGCAGGTTCGGGCTACTGGAGTGT